TTTAATTATAGCTACTTTAAAGGACTGTGGTACATATCCTGACAATAAAGAACAACATTTGACATCCTTTAAATAGACTGAAGATTATGAGCTTTCCCAATTTTTTAAGATGAAATACTAAGGGAAGTTGAATATTCTATAAACATACCACAGTAGAAGCATATGCAAATGTAATAGGCTCTAAAATTTTACCTTGGGGTATACCACAACAAATTGAAGCATCATCGTTATTAAAACTGATTTGAGTGGCAACTAAACAAACTACTCTATGGTTGGAGGATTTTACCAGGTCAGAACTTGAGACTTTAATATATTTACTTCAGAATCCAATGTCATTTTGTCTTTAGGGAGTCTTAAGTCCAAGTGAAGGCCTAATTTTTGTGTCTTAAGTCCATGTCTCAAGTTTCAAATCTCAGTGTGAAAGCTCTGCTGCATATAATTCTCCCCAGTTCCGAAAAACATAACACTGTCTCCTTTTAGGTTTTAAAGGTAAGGATCTACAGTATATAGCATGAAACCTTTCATGAAAGTCGCCATATCATATACCATGTTAGCTAACAGTCTGCTATAGGGAAACATTTGGTGATTTTGGTGTTTATGTTCTGTCATTTTAATGGGTGAGTTCATCAACGGGCCAGTCTCCAAAGATCTGCTGTATTCACTTAAGACCTTCAGCCCACACACAATAAATTTGAGTTGGAGAGCTTACATCCGTGGTTTATCTAACAGTTACATCATCAACATCAGTGCTTGAAAAATAGTGATTGGGACAGATATCAGAGAGCATGAGGACTACAGCCAGGAGTGAAACAACACAGTCCTTTCTCTCGCTAATTTTGAAACAAATCCGAGCTCATCATACCTCCAAAATGAAATCAAAAACCATCTGCATCTGCAAATAATTTTACCAACTTCTCACCATTAGCACCTTTAATCTCTGAGAATCTAATTAATACAATAAAGCTTCTTCTTTTTTTGTGTGCAAATTTTACTTGAAGAATTACTGCAAATAATTTCAACTACATGCGATCCGCCTCAAACTGTAAACTCACTTACTCTGTGTCACAAGACTTTTCAACACATGCAAGCATAGAAATTAGTGTGTGTATGCAAAATTAAACTGGGCTTATGTCAGGCCTGCACTGTATAAAGGGGACTGTGTGTGGGTTTAAGCAGCTACTTATGTGAGACCACACTGGCTCAATGGATGCTTGTTTCCTTCATGTGAGTGCACGCTCACACACACACACACACACACACACACAGTCATGTCTTTGCCCGGACAGACACGCAGTCACGCATGAATGCACACAGTCGTGCGCACAAACATACACACCTTCAGCTCTAGTGAAGCCTGGAGCTTTAAAGCCGACAGTCAGACCTTCAGTGGTTCTACAGGGATCAAACTCTAGAGCTACACAACTTTTGAGTTCCACTCTAGAAGTATGCAAAAATACTCTTAATATACTTAATATTTAGTTTAACACAGTTTTGCCACATAAAAAGTAAAAAAATCTCAACTTTTTCAAAACTTGAGGAATTCTGAATCTATGAATGCCCTGCTGTTTGCTAGGTTGACCGGTGAAAGACGGCTAGCGCTACAGGTAGTGCCTGAATTGAACCAAAAAAGGTGCCAGTAGCCTAATTCAGCATCACCCTAAAGGGTTAGGGTGATGATGTTTAGGGAAACACAACATAAACCTAAACGTTTTTGGGTGTTTCTTCATCCTTTTCAAAAAGGACATCATCAAGAAGATTGATTGATTGAACATTCATGTTTAGACAATATTTCACCAGGATCTTGTTGTAACTGTAAACAATATGCCGAAGTACTTGCACATGCACATTACAGCAATAAACAATATTTCCTACTTCATATTTATGTAGATAGCTTCCCCCATTATGATGTCCTGGAAGCTTCTTGTTGGCACCAAACAACCCATATAGTTAAACTTTCATGATATTGTATATACCTCGCCTACAACGCTCTTCATGGTCAGGCCCCTTCATATCTTAAAGAGCTCATAGTACCCTATTACCCCTCTAGAACACTGCGCTCTCTGAATGCAGGGCTACTTGTGGTTCCTATAGTCTCTAAAAGTTGAACAGGAGCCAGAGCCTTCAGCTACCAAGTTTGTGTTATGTGCGGGACCAAAAACTGCATGGAGGAGGAGTCGACCGGAAAAACGGACACGGAAGGATTAATAAGTATTGGAATTAATATGATAGTGTGCTTTCAGGCCACACTCAAAAACAATAATATCAGTTAAATATTTAGCAGGCTGGGAGTCAAGCAGGACCATGGCCAGGAGGGCTCCAATCCAGGATCCATGAGATAAGCACAAGAACTCCGGGAAGAAGTGGAAGTTAGTAACATGCGAATTGGAACATTGAAATGTGTGGCAGAAAAGAGAGAGGGATTTTGGAGGAAGGAGGAGGAGTCAGTTGCTCATGGGAAAATCCCCGGGCGAGTCTAGGCCTATAGGCAGCATTACTAAGGGATGGTTCAGGACGTCACCTTGATCCAGCCCTAACTATAAGCTTTATCAAAGAGAATACGTTTAAGCATAACTCCTAAGGTGGAATGAGGGGGTGTCTGGCCTCCCGAACCACAACTGGGATAGCTTGGTTCCACAAGAGATGGGAG